GTGATGCCCATAAATTTGCATTTCTAAGTAGTTTCTGCTTGATTCTGATACTGGTGTTCCAGGCACCATACTTCATAGAGGGTTCCAAATCTGCACTACCCATTATAGTAACACTAGCCACACTTGACTATTTGCATTAATTAAATTAAAAAATAAAGATTCAGTTCCTTAGTAGTACTAGTGACATTTTAAGTGCTCAGTAGCCACATGTAACTATTGTATTGCACAGACAAAATATTCTCATCATCTCACAAAGTTTTACTGAACAGAATTTACCATCTTCCTTAACAGTATTTCATTCAAGCTCTGGCTATTCAACTTTATCAATGCTACACAAAACATTATATGTCTCTAGAATGATTTTACCCCCCAGGTGTATTTTGCAGGAGACACTACTACTAAAAACAGACTCTGGCATCAGGCAGATCTTTTTTAAATTCTGGCTGTGCCACTTGCTAACTTTGTGACCTTGGATAAGAGACTTTACCTCAGGGCCTAATGTTATTCTCTTAAAAGGGGATAATACTCATCTTTCATGATTGATATGAGAATTAAATGTGATGATGAATGTAAACTCTTCAGCACTCATAGAAAACCTAATACGTTATAAACAATCCATAAAGGGAAGCTGTTCTTATTACCTGGCTCTCATTTTTCCTTTCCTCTACAGTCACTCCTGTTATCTTCAACACAGTAGTCCATACTACCATACCACACTCACACAATGGTCACTAACAACCCTTTGAAGAGTGTGGCTTCACAATTCCTCAAATACTTGGCATCAAATTTCTCTGTGCTGCACATTAAACTAGGATTAAAAAAAAAATCATCCTCTATTAGGCTACCACCAAGAGTTGAAATTTGTCATGTTTTCAAATTGATTAAAACCTCTTCTGGTTCACAAAACTTTCTAAATCAGATAGTTTATGCCCTCTCAGTAACTTTGAATCACATTACTTTTCTTACTTTACTGAGTCTACCCAATGATTTCTGGTTCCTTATCCAAACTTTGATCAATCATCATTTACTTCTCTGCTGCCTACACTGTAACCTAGGCTTCCCTGACCCCTTTTTTATCTATCATTGGCACCCTTTAACCTTTGCTTAATCACCCTTGGAGTTTCAGGGTCTCCTATTTTCCTTCCCGGAGATCATTCTTGTACAAAGACACTATGCCACACAGGTCTATCCCATAGGACCTTACAAATATTATTTTATTTTTTTTTACAAATATTATTTTATTAGTCTTGTAGTAGTTACCTTCCTCAGTTTCCAAATGATTATAATCTTTTCCACATCGGGACTCCCTGGTGGCGCAAAGGGTTAAGACACAACCTATGAAGCTAACCATAGCCACTGCAAGCATGAGTTTGATCCCTGGCCAAGGAGAAACCCACATGGCGCAGCAGGCCTCTCCTGCCTTGCCCACTGCTCCCCTCAGCAGTGTATTTCAGTCAGTCTGCCTGTTCTGTTCCCCACTCTGTTTCTGGTGAATCCTCTCACCATCAACCCCCGTACCTCTGGCCTGTACCCCAGTTCTTGTATGCATAAACATAATAAAATAATAATAAAAAATAATCTTTTCCACATACTTCAAGATCACCTAACGATTTCTCTCAGTCATCAGATTATTTAAACTTTCACTTTGCTGAGAACATCAAGACCTTCATCTATTAACATTCTTCATAACTTCACATGTTTCAGTCCTTATATTATAATAATTAAGCACTATTAATTTACAAGTACTGTTCTAAATGCTTTATGTGTAATTAACTCATTTGCTCATCATATCAACCCTTTAAATATTATTAAAACTATTTCTTTTTTTGAGGCATAGGGAGAGCATGTCTCACCCATAGTGACAAGAGTGGCAGGGCCAAGCTATGAATCCAGGCAGTCTAGTTCCACAGTCTGCACTTTCTATACCACTGTGCTCCATTGATTCCCATGCTGTTGACTTTTCCCTCTAATTCCAGATAATCTCAAGTTCCCCCTTTACTCAGGGTCAGAAATGGTGGTCAGATAGGGTTAGCTGGTTTTAGTGATTAGGTTTTAAAGTATAACATGTGAAAGGGGCCTCCCTGGTGGCTCAAGGGGTTAAGCACAGCACTTTGAAGCTATCGGCAGCCTCTGCAGCATGAGTTGGATCCCAGGCCAGCCAGGTAGCTACTCACATGGCACAGCAGACCTCTCCTGTCTCGCCCACTGCTCCCCTCAGCAGTGTATTTCAGTCAGGCTGCCTGTTCTGTTCCCCACTCTGTCTCTGGTGAATCCTCTCACCCCCCACATCTCTAGCCTGAACCCCAGTTCTTGTGTGCATAAATAAATAAATCTTTTTTTTAAAAAAAGTATAACACATGAAAAGAATATACAAAATTACTTATTACAAAGATGTTTTTTCAAAAATACTAGTTTAATGAAAAATACAGGTACTGGTATAAAAAAAAGACACATAGGTGCTTCCAGAATAAAGTCCAGAAATAAACCCTCACATACATGGTCTAGTGATTTTCCACATGGGTTCCAAGACTATTCAATGAGGAAAAGATAAAACTTTTAACAAATGATGCTGGGAAAACTGGATATCCACATACAAGGGAATGAAACTGGACCCTGGCCTTATATCACATACAAAAATTCAAAATAAATGTAAGAGGGGCCTCCCTGGTGGTGCAAGGGGTTAAGTCTCAATGCTATGAAGCTATTGGGCAACCGCTGCAGCATGAGTTCCATCCCAAGATGGGAGCTGACCCACATGGCGCAGCAGACCTCTCCTGTCTCGCCTGCTGCTCCCCTCAGCAGTGTATTTCAGTAGATCCACCTGTTCTGCTCCCCATTCTGTTTCTGGTGAATCCTCTCACCAGCCCCCATACCTCTGGCCTATACCACAGTTCTTGGATACATAAATAAAATAAATCTTTAAAAAATTAAAAAAAAAAAATGTAAGAGCTGAAACTATAAAACTCCCTCAAGAGTTTCTATTTGGGGGCCTCCCCAGTGGCACAGTGGGTTGAGCGCTGCGCTGTGAAGCTGTCCACAGCCTCTGCAGAGTGGGTTCGATTCCCGGCCAGCCAGGGAGAAACCCACATGGCATGGCAGACCTCTCCTGCCTCACCCGCTGTTCCCCTCAAGCAGTGTCTTTGGTCCGCCTGCCTGTTCTGCTCCCCACTCTCTCTGGTGAATTCTCTCACCCTCCCGCACCTCTGACCATACCCCAGTTCTTGAATAAATAAATAAATCTTTAAAAAAGAAAAAAAAAAGAGTTTCTGTTTGGGGTGATGAAAAAGTTCTAGAGTGGGATAAGCACATTTCCAACAACGTAAAAGTTCTTAGCAACACTGAACCATACACTCAAAAATGGTTAAAATGTTGTATTTTTGTATATTTTACCAAAATAGACAAATGAAAAAAAGGAATAAATATATAAAATTGATCCCTTTACTTGTGTCCTAGATTCCCCTTTTTGATTCTTGAATGATGTTATTCCTAAATGTATCTACTTCATTATCAATTTCTCAATGATCATTCCTTCTACCCAAGCTCTTTCTTTTTTTTTTTTAAAGATTTATTTATTTATGCATACAAGAACAGGGGTACAGGCCAGAGGTGTCGGGGTGAGAGGATTCACCAGAGACAGAGTAGGGAACAGAACAGGCAGATTGACTGAAATATACTGCTGAGGGGAGCAGCGGGAGAGTCAGGAGAGTCTGCTGCGCCATGAGGGTAGCTCCCTGGCCGGGGATCGAAATCATTCTGTAGTGACTATGGATAGCTTCATAGGTTGTGTCTTAACCCCTTGTGCTACCAGGGAGGCCCTCTACCCAAGCTCTTCCTCTCTGCCATGATCTTGGAGTCATTAGACTTCATTTTCGCCTTTACGTAGATGGTCCTAAAATGTACATTTCCAATCCTGTTGGTTGCAATTTCTCATTTAGTATTTCCATTTAAATTCCTGTTATTACCTCGAATTCAAATGACCAAAACAGAACATGGTATTCCTTTTAAGTTACCCTTCTTTACAAATTTAATTATGTCACATTTTTTCTACTTTACTCAGGTTAAAGTTAAAAGTAGTACCTCCCACACTCCTAGGCCTTTTTTTATACCATATCATCATTCATAGCACTTTGGGTGATCTAACATTATCTTGTTTATTGGCTTATTTGTCTATTGTCATAACTGGAAAAATATAAATAGAAACTACATGAAAATCAGTATTCTAATCTGGCTTAATCATGATTCTGTCCTCAGTCTAGTACAGTACCTGGCACAAGTCAGTCTAGTCAGTCTCACAAGAAATGTTTTATTGAATTATTATAGCTTACATTGTTTTTTACTACATACACAATTGTTTGTACATGTATTTTATATGTATTACAAACCACTCTTCATACTTTATCACATCCACAACAATCCTATTGAGGTTATTGTTTTTTATCGTGCTTTCCATTTTATAAATTAGAAACTGAGCTGTGGAGAATGAGGAATAGAATCCAAGTGTTCTATATTTGCCTTATAAAATGAATTTAAGAACACTCCCCCACACATATATTTGTTTTAAGAAAATGAAGTTGATTCAGAAATGCTAAATGTCTCAGAATCTATCTTTGAAATATCAGTACATGTCAAATAAACCACAAGCTTTTGATATTCCTGGGAGATGGGGTAGAAAAAGAAGAAAAAAGGACATATTGTAAACCACCTGAAAATCCCTGGTAGGTATATTCTGTCCATTACTATTATTCTAGAGACATCATTATACCAAACTACATTGATGGTGATCTACTCAAACAACTGACTGAACCTGTTCACGCAGCAGTAGAGTACCAAAGTGACCTGACATCACGTTAGGTGGCCCTTAAAGTGTAGAGACCATGTCTGCCTTGATCTCTGCTCACCTATCACTTAGTATAATGACTACAAAAATTAGAAACACAACTTTGCTTATTCAAGAATAAAGAAATATAAAAAATGCAAAGATTCCATCAGTAAGTGCTTACCTTGATCTCTTCGTGATCATGGAAGGAAAATTCCATCAATTCATCTGATATCTGCTCTGCCTGGTCTTCTAGTTCTGGATTATTAGCCAATTTTGGAGCTGTAATGGGACTGCCCAGATATTTCATTTCACTTTCCTCCAAGTTTCCATTGTCCTGTCAAGTATATTGACAATAGTAAAAACTATTCAGGAACCTTAACTTACACCAATATAAAAATTAACTAAAAATGGTTCCTAACTAATTAACTAAAAACAGTTTGCCTAAACACAGGAGATAGGGGTAGGTGTTAAAAAAAAAACAACAATAATAAAGATTCAAACATAAGAGCTAAACTACAAAACTCTTAGAAGAAGGGCCTCTCTGGTAGCATAGGGATTAAGTTTCAGCACTACCACTACTATGGTGTAAGTTCTATCCCAGACAGGGAGCTAACCTACAAATGGTGCAGCAGATCTCTCCTGTCTTACCGGCTGCTCCCCTCAGCAGTGTATTTTCAGTAGATCCACCTGTTCCGCTCCCCACTCTGTCTCTGGCGAATCCTCTCACCCCCCACACCTCTGATCTACTTCCCAGCTCTTTAATGCATAAATAAATAAAAATAAATCTTAAAAAAAGTTTATAATGAGCTTTATTATTAGCTTTTAAAAAGGATATAAAGTTTTATATGTGATAGAGCCTCAACTTCGTAAAACTATACACAGTGAAAAACTGAAAAGAGGGCCTCCCCTGGTGGCGCAGCAGTTGAGTGCTGGCCTGCGAAGCTGCCCGCAGCCTCTGCAGCACCGGTTCTATCCCTGGCCACCAGCGAGGGTCCCACATGGCACGCAGACCTCTCCTGCCGTGCCCGCTGCTCCCCTCAGCAGTGTATTTTGTCAGTCTGCCTGGTCTGCTCCCCGCTCTGGCTCTGGTGAATTCTCTCATCCTCCCGCGCTTCTGACTGTACCCAGTGCTTATATAAATAAATAAATAAATCTTAAAAAAAAAAAAAAAACTGAAAAGAAATGAGGAGGGGCCTCCTTGGTGGTGCAAGGAGTTAAGTCACAGCACTATGAAGCTATCTGCAGCCACTGCAGGATGAGTTTGATCCCCAGTCAGGAAGGTGACCCACATGGTGCAGCAGACTTCTGTCTAGCCTGCTGCTCCCCTCAGCAGTGTATTTTCAGTCTACCTGTTCTGTTCCTTATTCTGTCTCTGGTGAATCCTCTCACCCCCCCCACACCTCTGGCCTGTATCCCAGTTCTTGTATGCATAAATAAATAAATCTTTTTAAAAAATAAATAAAAGGCATTAGAATTTTTTCTTCATAAACAAATATAAAGATCAGAGGACATAAGTCGCCTCCCTTTCCCTGCCAGAATGTTAATTCTCCAAATACTTTCCTCATTCTCATCAGCTTAAAAAAATTTCAAAGGATCTGCCATCCTATACCCACATCTCAACTGACATTTAATAAAGATGTTTAGTGACTCACCATTAGAGAATGGGAAGACACATAAGGTTCCCCTGGTCTCTGATGAAATCTCAGATTCCTGGGTACCCACCACTCCAAGGACTTCAAAGTGCTGTTTTCCTGCATAACAGAAACTACGTTGGCTTGAGGAAGAGAAGTGTTATTAGGCCCTTCCAAAAAACATTTCATCTGATGAAGCCATAAATAACCCTTACAAAATATATTAAATGTAATTAGGGTTGACTCTATATCCCGAAGATACAAATTACGGTTTGAATTTGATATATGGTATGTAGATTTACTTTAGAGTATACTATAAGCAAAAGGAAGTGAGGGAAATTGAGAGCCTGACTGGGGACAGGATAGTGAGATTTTTAAGAAGTGATTATAAAGGGAAACTAGAAAGTCAATATTAAAACCAAGAAAAAGCTGATTATAACAGATAAAAACATGGGTATAACTTCGTCTGTGTGGGGAAAGAACAGCAGCTTTCTTTTATGGATGCTGACCTGGGGCAAAGGATGCGAGGTGTGAAAAGAAAAAGATGGCTAGAAAAGAGAATTAGTTGAGTAATTAGAGAATAATCTTAGTGATTAGGTGACTATGGAGAGGTCACTTTCAACTTGGAAATGACGACAATCTGAGGCTCCCACAAAAAAGCATGATGACTTCCTTAGAATAGGGGTTATAAAGCTAGGCTAAGGAGGAAATAAGAACTAAAGAAACACAGACTTATATGTGATTTCATGCAAAGAGTCTATGAACAAGTCATGTAAATTATTTCTATCTATTAAAAAAAAGTCCCCTTGGGCCTCCCCTGATAGCGCAGTGGTTGAGAGCTGGGTTGCAAGGCTGCCCACAGCCTCTGAAGCGCCATTTCGATCCCCGGCCGCTGGCAAAGGTCCCAGATGGCACAACAGACCTCTCCTGCCATGCCCGCTGCTCCCCTCAGCAGTGTATTTCGTCAGTCTGCCTGTTCTGTTCCCTGCTCTAGCTCTGATCAATTCTCTCAACCTCCCGTGCTTCTGACTGTACCCAGTGCTTGTATAAATAAATCTTTAAATAAATAAATAAATAAAAATTTTAAAAAGTCCCCATTCCTTACACTACAGTAACAGATATTTGTCCTTAGAGTAATAATGATGACTTGCTATGGAAGTCTTAGAGCTAGGTTTCTATCCTGGGTTCAAACTTAACAGAGAAAAAAACAAAACTAACAAATCATAAATAATTTTTTTCTTCTAATGATACAAATTGCTGTCTAGTATATTGAGGCACATACAGCTCTTAGAACTCATGATGATACTGATGAGTTGTTCCACTCAAATGCAGAAAAAGACAACATCTAGGTTTCCATTAAACACTCACATTTTCTTTGTTTGAGGATGAGCTATGTATTGCCTCTTTCTTCCTGTATCTGTGGTCCACCACATTCGGAGTGCTACAAAGCAGCTGTGCCTAGAAGAGATCTAAAACCATCAGCATTTTGGGCCTCCCCGGTGACGCAGCGGTTCAGCGCTGGGTTGCGAACCCTCTGCAGCACCAGTTAGGTCCCCGGCTGCTCCCGGCCACCAGAGGAGGGTCCCACATGGCGCGTACGGTCCCACATGGCGTGCAGACCTCTCCTGCCGCCCGCTGCTCCCCTCAGCAGTGTATTTTGTCAGTCTGTCTGTTCTGTTCCCAGCTCTGGCTCTGGTGAATTCTCTCACCCTCCCGCTCTTCTGACTGTACCCAGTGCTTGTATAAATAAATAAAAAAATCTTTATAAAAAATAAAACCATCAGCATTCTGGAGCTGCAGGTGAGCTGGAAACTCTCTGCCTCCCACCTGAGAAACAAACCCAAAACCCCAAAAAAGAGGAGTTACTCACTGGATTGCATTTTTTAACATGCTGGTGATGTCTGCTGTAGATTAAAAAACAAACAAACAAAAAAACCTTCAGTCAGTTAAGTCCCAAATACTACTGTTTTGTCATTCTTTAGCATCTTGAGCATCCCAAACTTTCTTTCTTCCATCTTAGGCCTTAGGGAGGCCTATACCTATGTCTCTTCTAATACAATGTGTAGGGTGTCCATTATGGTAAATATCAAGTTGTTCATTTAGCAAAAGAACTTACATCCCAGCTAATTTTATTTCCTGAGGTCCTAAGGAGTCCCAGTGACCTGTAATCAGATAGGGAGAGTAATTATTAATGAAACATCCTGTTTTTCCTTCTGATTTTCACTAGCAGTAAGCCAGGATAATTTCAAAAGCTGACTTTTTGAACACAAACACTCCTGGTAGGCAGCAACTTCATGATACAAGTTACCATGATACAAGTCATAATTTCACAGAAACAGAAATCTACATGCGACATTAAAAAGAAAAAAATTCTGGGAAGTAGTACACTACACTAATAGAAAAGAAAAGAATACTTATCATACAAGAATTCTGAAATGAGAACAAACATTAAAATGGTTGACTAGGAAAAACATTCCTTTTGAACACAGACCCTATAAAAACACTTGAGAATCAGGTGACAAAGTATTTCTTTATGTTGGTTTCTTTGCCTCTGCTGAGATTAGACTAGAAACATAAAGCTTGGCATCTTTCTTATTTTCTTCTTACTTTCTAATTTTCATTCCCACAATCAGTCAACAAAATTATTTCTTCCTGTCAAACTTTTAAATGCAAAGTGACTCTTATCAGGGTTATCTTTTTCTTTCCTTTGGCTTAATCTTTCTCATGAAAAATTCTCTAGTCACTCACAGAATTCAACTACAAGGCTCTCAGGCCTCCCCAGCGGCATAGGAGTTAAGTCTCAGTGTTATCACTGTTATGGGCCTGAGTTTGAATCCAGACCAGGCAGCCAACCCACATATGGTGCACAGAACTCCCGTCTCACCTGCTGCTTCCTTTAGCAGTGTATTTCTGTAAATCCTCCTGTTCTGCTCCCCACTCTGTCTTTAGCAAATCCTCTCACTTTGCCCTCCGCCCCTTACCTCTGGCCTACACTCCAGTTCTTCTACACACAAAAAAATAAATTAAATAAATGTACCTTAAAAAAAAAACAACTGCAAGGCTCTCTACCCTCTTTTACCACCTTCCACCTCTATCCTACAATCCTGTTATCTACTTTAAAAGTCATACTTTCTTTTAAGGCATTTACATCAGTAGTTCCTACCAGTTTCATCAAGGTATGGAGAGGTGGTGAGCTGAGTAGCAGATATCTCTCCACTGCTATGATTTGAAAGATCAAGGCAACGTTTTGGAGTGCTTCTGTTGAGACATAACAATACATCAAAATTTCCCTTCGGTTATATCTTTAAGACCAATACTTTTTTTTTTAAAGATTTATTTATTTATTTATACAAGCACTGGGTATAGTCAGAAGCGCAGGAGGGTGAGAGAATTCACCAGAGCCAGAGCAGGGAGCAGAGCAGGCAGAAGGACCGAAGTACACTGCTGAGGGGAGCAGCGGGCAGCAGGAGAGGTCTGCACGCCATGTGGGACCCTCACCCAGTGGCCGGGGAGCAGCCGGGGATCAAACTGGCGCTGCAGAAGCTGCGGGCAGCTTCACAACCCAGCACTCAACCACTGCACCACCAGGGAGGCCCAAGATCAACACATTATCCTCTTTACTGAATAACCCCTCAATGACTATCACGTCATATGAACAATGTAAAGAAATCTAATTGCTTTTTGGAAAATTTTCAGACTAGGTTGAGAAAATATCCCACTTTTTTTTTTAACTACCATAATGTATACCTCAATTTTCTCCTTACTGACATATTGAAATGAGTTTTTTTTTCCATTGAGGACCATAGTTTATTGGCCACAGTGGCTCTTTTTTTTTTTTAAAGATTTATTTATTTATGCATACAAGAGTTGGGGTACAGGCCAGAGATGTGGGAGGTTGAGAGGATTCACCAGAGGCAGAGTGGGGAACAGGCAGACTGACTGAAATAGACCGCTGAGGGGAGAAGCGGGCGAGATAGGAGAAGTCTGCTGTGCCATGTGGGTTGCTCCCTGGCTGGCCGGGGATCGAACTCATGCTGCAGAGGTTATGGATTGCTTCACAGTGTGGTGCTTAACCCCTTGCGCCATCAGGGAGGGCCCCACAGTGGCTCTTGACCCCACATAAGCCTTATGCACCAAGAGCATTCCTCAAGTCTCAAGTACTTCTCAAACATAACTCTGTTAGCTAAAGCATTAGAACATGGCATGATCAGAATTTTAAAGTATAATAACATTAATAAGTTGCCAATAGAAAAAATGCAGTAGTTCTCAAAGACTTTTTCCAGATATCACTTATTTTCTACTTTTCTGTCACAGAAGTCTGACGCTCAATAGGATCACACAATTAGGGCCTCCCTGGTGGCACAAGGGGTTAAGATGCAACCTATGAAGGGCCTCCCCGGTGGCGCAGCGGTTGAGTGCTGGGTTGCGAAGCTGCCCGCAGCCTCTGCTGCACCGGTTCAATCCCCGGTTCAATCCCCGGCTGCTCCCGGCCACTGGAGGACGATCCCGCATTGCGCATAGACCTCTCCTGCCGCCCGCTGCTCCCCTCAGCAGTGTACTTCGGTCTTTTTGCCTGCTCTGCTCCCCGCTCTGGCTCTGGTGAATTCTCTCACCCTCCCGTGCTTCTGACTGTACCCAGTGCTTGTATAAATAAATCTTAAAAAAAAAAGATGCAACCTATGAAGCAATCTGCAGCCACTGCAGCATGAGTTCGATCCCCAGCCAGGGAGCTTCCCACATGGCACAGCAGACCTCTCCTGACTCACCCACTGCTCCCCTCAGCAGTGTATTTCTGTCAATCTGCCTGTTCTGTTCCCCACTCTGTCTCTGGTGAATCCTCTCACCCCCCACACCTCTGGCCTACCCCAGTTCCTGTATGCATAAATAAATAAATTTTTTTTTAAAATGGATCACACAATTAGCCAAGGGCAGAGCTGAGACTTAAACTCTGATCTTTGAGTCCAGGTAATTTTTTTTTAAACGTGGAAAATTTGCCTGCAAAGCAAAGGCAATAGGTCAAAAAGAAAAGTAGATTTACCCAGACAAAGTGCTTAGATTTGCAGAATCACTAAAGAGTTTGTTCACTGGAGTTCTTGGGAGATCTGTACAGACGGTAAAGGAATTATCTCTCTCCAAGAGCAAGTTTAATATCTTCCTCTGATTGGACCTAAAGTTAGGTCTTGAGCCAGGGCTTCCTTCCTCTCTTGTGGATGAGAAGTGTTCCGTAGACATGACCTTCAAGCTCTTGCTAAGAAAAAAAAACAAACAAGTTTCCACTTCCAATCACGAGGCAGCTGGGCATTTGTTGGGTCCCAAGGGTGGAGGGTCCTGCAGAATGAAGACTTAAACCCAAAGATATGGCAAAACATCTGAAGTTCACAGCCAAGTCTGTGATGGTACAGGAAGGAACAACGGAAGGTGCAAACAGGAACCTAAACAGAATCCTCACCGTGGATAGGCTGATTGAGGGCATTAATTACTAGGAGAAGCCTTGTCACAAGTGAACAGAGGGAAAGCTATGAAATCTGCTGGCCTATCTACAGCAGGGAAACGCCTCATAAGGGCAACTTGACAGGAAAAAATTAGATCCATGCAGAGCTGCTGAGGCCTGTGAATAGGAGAGAGACCCAGTATGAAAATGCTTATCCAACCCCATTTTCTCTTACCTCTTACAATAAACTCAATCACATATACGCAGAAAGACCTGTCAATATAGAAGCAATCCCTACTCAGCAAGGGGCACTCTCTTTTATTAATTGGAAGGAAATCTCAATCAAAATGTAGTCTAGAAGTAGAATGGTGGTTACCAAGGCCTGGAGGGAGAATGAGGAGTTATTCCTGGGTACAAAGTTTTGGCTGGGGAAAATGGAAAAGTTCTGGAGATGGATGGTGGTGATAGTCGCACAACAGTGTGAATGTATTTAATACCACTTAACTGTGGCACTCAATGGTTTAAAAATGGTAAATTAGGGCCTTCCTGGTGGCGCAGCAGGTTGAGCGCAGCACTGTGAGGCTGTCCACAGTCTGCTGCACGGGTTTGATTCCCGGCCAGCCAGGGAGACACCCACACAGCGTGGCAGACCTCTCCTGTCTCACCCACTGCTCGCCTTAGCAGTGTATTTCATCAGTCTGCCTGTTCTGTTCCCCACTCTGTCTCTGGTGAATTCTCTCACCCTCCTGCACCTCCGGCCTGTGCCCCAGTTCTTGTATAAATAAATATTTTTTTTAAAAAATAGTAAATTATATTTTATGAACATTTTACAATACATTTTTTCAAGTGATCTATGAAAAAAGAAAAGAAACCCTAGCTAAGAAGAGAACATCATGGGGCCTCCCTGGTGGCCTAGGGGTTAAGTCTCAGGGCTATCACCACTATGGCCTGAGTGCACTCCCAGGTTAGGGAGCTAACCCACATGAATAATCCTCACAAAATACACTAAATGTAATTAGGGCTGGGCCTCCCTGGTGGCACAGGGGTTAAAGACAGTGCTATCAAGCTTTTGTCAGCCACTGCAGCATGCATTCCTATCCCTGCCAGCCAGGGAGCTACCCACATGGTGCAGCAGGCCTCTCCTGTCTTGCCCGCTGCTCCCCTCAGCAGTGTATTTCAGTCAGTCTGCCTGTTCTGTTCCCCACGCTGTCTCTGGTGGGTCCTTTCAACCCCCACATCTCTGGCCTGTAACCCAGTTCTTGTATGCATAAATAAATCTGGGTCCTTGGTGGCGCAAGGGGTTAAGCACCGCACTGTGAAGCAATCCGCAGCCTCTGCAGCACGAGTTCGATCCCAGGCCTGCCAGGGAGCTACCCACATAGCGCAGCAGACCTTTCCTGTCTCGCCCGCTGCTCCCCTCAGCAGTGCATTTCAGTGGATCTGCTTATTCTGCTCCCCACTGTCTCTCATGAATCCTCTCTCCACTTCACCTCACCCGCATCCCGCACCTCTGGCCTTCACCCCAGTTCTACTATGCAAAAACGAAAAAAGAAAACGATTGGGGCGATAGAGAGGGCGGGAAGGAGGGAGTTAAAGGTGGAATAGAAAAGGGGCTTTGATTCGTTTGGGGACACACAGCCAGTGACGCCTGACAGGAAGGAACTCAGGTCTCCTCCCTCGCCATAAAGCCCCTGAACTTCGTGATGATCCCAACTTGCATTTACAGGTTCTCTCGCCCGACCCTGAGGAGACCGCAGGGTCTACGCGATCCCGACTGAGCCGGCCCTGGCTTACCTCAGGCTGGAGTCTGAGACTTGTTTTTCAGGAGAAAGGGAAGTGGGTGTGGGTCAGATAAACAGAAGACGCAAACAGAAGGCAAGGAAACCTGAAGAAAGGGGGCCGTTAACCGGGCTGCAATCCTGCGCCAGAACCTGACAGGACGGACGACACCGCCGCGGCTCCGCGGGGAGGGCCGAGGCCTTGACCATTCAAACCTTCCGCCAATGACCTATCCCTTTCGCCTCTGCGGCGACCGCAGCCAATCTCCGCGCTCCCGCCCCGACTCCCTCAGCCAATCGTGTGGGTCGTACCGTCGAGCCCGCGTTCGGCGAGCGGCTGGATAAGCCGCGAACCTGACGCATAATTGGCTGTGCCTCCGGCCAATCACCGCGGCCCACCAGAGCGCTCCCTCCGCTCCGCCGCGCGACCCCGGGATATTTAAATAGTCCCATGCTGGCCACGATTGCGGGGTTAGTGTGATACCTGGGAGGGTAGTTTAGGTGGAATGGTGCCTTAAACGTTTCCTTTTCCCTGCTTCCTCCTCGTGTTCTGACTTGGACGTTTCTCTCTTAGTGTTAGTAGCCTCCCGCCGCAAAAGGAGCATTTACTTGCCTTTGCAGCTGATGGGGCGCGCGCGCGCGCGCGCGTGTGTGTGTGTGTGTTCGTGTGTGGTCTCTTTCAAGGGCTTTTTTAGTTTGGTGCCGCTTTCAGCGAGCACCGTCTGAGATGCTGTTATGCTTATGTGCAGGAAGGTAGGGCAGTTGAAGGTAAGCTAGGGGAGTTGAATCCTCTTGACACACTCCGAAGGATCCCAAACTTTGGTTACTTACGAAAATTGAAACATTGACTAGGTGATATTAAAAATAACATTTTAAACAAAAAACTATGAACCAGAGATACTTTTTGGGGGGTGGGGGGCGGGAGGGGAGGGATTGGGGTCAGAATGGGGGGGTTGCAATTGTATGGGGAATATAAAAATAAATTTATTATAAAAAAAATAAATAAAATAAATAAAAATGACATTTTAATGTTGGGCATTTGCTCTTAAGTAATCCTGTGGGTGTGGGAGTGGGTTTAGATGAAACAAGATAGGCCAACATTGGATGGTGGGTAACTGGGACTCCATTATATCAGCGCTCTCAAGGCTTACTGTACCTACCACACCCCCTGGGACTCTTGTTAAAATGCAGATTTCGGGCCTCCCTGGTGGCACAAGGGGTTAAGTCTCAGCACTGTGAAGCTATCTGCAGCCACTGCATCATGAGTTTGATCCCCCCAGGGAGGTGACCACATGGCACAGCAGACCGCTCATGTCTCCCTTCAGCAGTGTATTTCAGTTAGTCTGCCTGTTCTGCTCCCCACTTTCTCTTGTGAATCCTCTCACCCCTCCCTCCCAACCCCCACCCCTGCACTTCTGGTCTACACCCCTGCTCTTGTATGCATAAACAAATAAATCTTTATTTTTTTTAAAGATTTATTTATTTATTTATTTATTTATACAAGCACTGGGTGCAGTCAGAAGCTTGGGAGGGTGAGAGAATTCACCAGAGCCAGAGCAGGGAACAGAACAGGCAGATTGACTGCTGAGGGGAGCAGCCTGCACGGCAGGATAGGTCTGTGTGCCATGTGGGACCCTCGCTGATGGCCAGGAATCAAACCAGTGCTGCAGAGGCTGCGGGCAGCTTTGCAGCCCAGTGCTCAACTGCTGCGCCACCAGGGGAGGCCCAATAAATAAATCTTAAAAAAATAAAATAAAATGCAGATTTCTCAACTCAGTGACTCATTTAACAAGCTCCCAGCTGATGCAGATACAACTGGTGTCCTGCAACCATACTTTGAGTTGTGAAGCATTATGCTATTCTTCATATATCTGAAATTTTTTACAAAAAAAAAGTTTAAAATAACTTGGAAGTTCTTTAAAATGCAAGCCCCCCCCCCACCACTACCCAAATGATGACTCAATAGGTCTGTAGTGGGTCCTAGGAATTATTAAGGTTGGTGTTAACGTACCCATGCAAATGGTCAGAAATACACTCATAACCCGTGAAAGGATCTTGGTGGTGATAGTGGCTGTGTGAGGTGCAATGTAGTCTTGGGATTTGTCCCATACCCTTTCCATCTGTAGAATCTGCTTCCCCAGAAAGTAGGTGTGTAAAGATAAGGTGCTTGCCATGCCAAGGAAGTCTGAAAATCAGGTTGGAAATTAAGGGAGTATGGGATGAGCTGGTTTCTGTTATAATGACTATAATCACAATTCATGGGACAACTGTGTATTTCCCTGAAGGTGAGAGGTAGAGACAGATGAAGTTGTCCTACAGAAGCTTGAAAAACAAATAGGTTATGGCAGGGTCTCCCTGGTGGCACAAGGAGTTAAGTATCAGCACTGTGAAGCTATCTGCAGCCACTGCAGCATGAGTTGATCCCTGGCCTGCCAGGAAGCAACTCATATGGCACAGCAGACCTCTCCTGTCTCACCCACTGCTCCCCTCAGCAGTATATTTCAGTCAATCTGTCTGTTCTGCTCCCCACTCTGTTTCTCATAACCCGTGAAAGGATCCTCTCACCCGTGAATCCTCTCACCCCCTGGACCTCTGGCATGCACCCCAGTTCTTGTATGCATAAATAAATAAATCTTTTTTAAAAAGCAAATTAGGTTATGGCAAGTGCACACCTGGTGCTTTCTGTAGCAGTGCTTTCTGTAGCAGGTCCCCAAGTGAGTATTGGTGTAGGTGGTCACAGGAGTTTCAACTAAGTGATAATGGCCCAATATCAAGTGATGGAAAATACTAGGATCTGAGTGCTCTCACAAAGTTGCACATCACTATGAAAAATTTCCTGCAACTTAATCCCAAAAGTTTCCAAGATTTTTTTCAAATTGAACAAGTGATACTTGCCCCGTACGAATTTTTATAGCTCTGTTTGGTATTGACGTTTTTTATCTCCGACCATTTTTACCTCATTTCTCTCGTGCCTGGCTGATAGCAACATACTTGCCTAATTATGTGAAATGTATGCATGCATAGTCTTGTATTTATGCATGCATACAAACTAAAGGTAGAACATATTTTAAAAGAATGTCAAGTATTGTCTTCTATATCTATCTTGACTTCTGATATCTAATTTACCCTTCCTAGAAGAAAGAATATTAGGGAGTTGGGAATTTTAGTGTTTGAACTAAAGATTTACTTTTTCTGTTGGATGAGGGCATAAATACTACCTTATTCTTAGAGAATTTTTGATGAGTCTCCTGACAGACTGTGATAAAACAATGAGCTCTTCCCTTCGCCTTGATCTCGGCCTGACACATATTTGTCTTCGTCAGGTCACAGAGGTAACCAGGACTTCACCCTCACATGCCAAAGAAGAGGATGAACAGCCATCGTTCCTGGGATGACCATATCAGGCAGTGGAGAAAAGTCTTAGATTTCTGGGACACCCCTTCCCCCTCCAGCTGTCTCTGGAGAGCAGGGGAGCTGAGGAGTATGGACACTATTCCTGTTACTTCCATGAGTTGTGGACTGAACCCTACTTCTCTCCACTTTGCAAAGCATAAGCTTTAACAGACTAAAAAGAGTCTGAATGACGTACATGTTCCTCTGACTCTGCTATCAACCTAGGCAGGAAATGGAGAGTAGAGCCAATGGATTTCACCCCTTTGCAAGACCTCTTTGACAACGGTCTCCAGGTCTTGGAACTCTCAGAGAATTTGGGTGGGGACCAGAGAAGAGCCCAGGTTGTATTCGCTGCTGAAACCTATTGGAGCAGAATCAGAGATAGGGTCTGGCCTATGATGTCACAATTAAGGTAGGGTTCAAGGTAGTAGCCCAAGAACAAAAAGGAAAATGGGACATTATGTAAAAATGTCAAACAAACTTGAACTAAAAATGGCATAAGATTCAATTATAGGGCCTCCCAGGTGTCGCAGCGGTTGAGCTCTGGGTGGCGAAGCTGCCCGCAGCCTCTGCAGCACCAGTTCGATCCCTGGCCACTGGGTGAGGGTCCCACATAGCGCGCAGACCTCTCCTGCCGCCCGCTGCTCCCCTCAGCAGTGTATTTCCTCACTCTGCCTGCTCTGATCTCCACTCTGGCTCTGGTGAATTCTCTCACCCTCCCGCGCTTCTGACTGTACCCAGTGCTTGTGTAAATAAATAAAGAAATAAATCTTTTTAAAAAGATTTAATTATAGTTAGTAATTTGGGGAGGGGTTGAACTGCAGTGGGCTATTTTATACTTGATTAAAGGGCTATAATCTTCCTTTGAAATGAGGCTTAAAACCTGACCGGCAGACTTTTTTTAAAGTCTCAGATTCATTCAATGCATTGCAAATGAGCCAATACTAAGTTAACTTCTTATACTCAATTATTTAACTATAATAAAAAGGGGGTCAACTGGTGGTTAAGACCAAGGGCTTTTGGGCCTCCCTGGTGGAGCAAAGGTTAAGACACAACCTATGAAGCTATCCACAGCCTCTGCAGCACTAATTTGATCCCCGGCCAGTAAGCTACCCACATGGCACAGCAGACCTCTCCTGTCTTGCCCACTGCTCCTCTCAGCAGTGTATTTCTGCTGAAAAATACTGCTCTGCCTGCTCTGTTCACTCTGCCTGCTCTGAGTGAATCCTCTCACCCCCCATGCCTCTGGCCTGTACCCCAGTTCTTGTATGCATAAATAAATCTTTAAAAAAAAAAAAAGACCAAGGGCTTTTAACACCCCAGACTGCATGTTAACAATACCTTTGCCCAGTACATGGGCTGTCACTTAACCTCTCCAGTACTTTCATCTGTTAAATAAGGAGACTGTCACTTATTTGATGTAGCAAAAATGAGAACCCATTGAAAGGATGTAACACAATAAATACTCCACAATAGTAATTATAGGAAATTTCATGGGCCTTGCCCCTGCTCCTTCCCTTTTCCCAGGGGGAAGTATGCTGTAGAGCAAGGAAATGTGCTGTGCATCTCCCCTCCACCACCATTTTCTTAATAAGTACCCCCACTTTTCTTCTACTCTTTCTTAGTTTGCAGACTATGTGGCTCCTTCCTCCTTCATTCCCTGGCTCTGTAAGAACCCTACCAATGGCTCTACTTTCTAGCTGCTAACACTTATCTGTGTGTCCCAGACATGAGTGGGACACTAGATATTTAGAGAAAACAGATGTCTTTCAAGGGACTTGTTGCTAACTGTAGATAAAGATTACTGCATTATTGCCATTTCCTGATCAATTAAAAATCTTAAACTCTGCCCTACAAAATGATCACAACATGAGAGCACTGTTTAAAACCTCCCCTTTTTCTGTCTTTTTTGCCTGTCTCCCTGAATCTTTTGGGAACTGAAACTCAAATTTACACAAGAGTCAGAAATCATCTAGCTCTGCTCCCACCTCTTCCACCTACCGTCTACATTCTCTTCAAAAAGGATTTAAACTTTAGCTGAGATGGGAGGTTGTGGTAGTGGAGCTTTAATAAAAGGTGATTTCCTCTTCTTAAAGAGTAAATATAGCGCCATCAACATCCTTTCCCCATCTGCCTGTTTCCTCCGTCCCTCCCTCCCTTTCTGTTTTAAGGAAAGTGGTCCAGCTGTAACCACCGTACTCCCCGCCCCCCTCCACGCAAGCAACTGAACCGCCTATGATGTCATAATCACAATCCCATTACCTCATCCTGCTTGGGTGGGGGGGCGTTGAGGGAGAAGGAGTGAACAGCCCTCGGCCCTCCTCAGCTTTACAAAGTGTACTGAGTGACAGATAATTACAGAACCTACTGGGTACAGCCCAGTAACCGTTATAAATCCTAGGTTTATACGGTTCGAGTGGATCCGGCAGCTGGAAAAGGGGCTCTTGGGACTCAGAGTAGGCCCTGTAATCGGCGCTTGGACTACGTTTCCCAGAAGCCTTCACGCCGCGGACGAGTCTTCTGCTGGGGAAGGGGGATCCCGCCGGAGAGGCGGCCGTGCTGGGCGGGATGCGAGGGCAGGTGAGAGGAACCGCGGCTAATTCATTTTCGCGGCCCGCAACGAGCGGGGAGCTCTGCTTGGGCTCTTGTGGGAATGAAGGGCCGGGGCGAAGGCTTTGTTTACCTTCGTCCGACACGGCCTCCCCCGCGGGTTTGGAGATGTGCCTCCATCTGGGCCCGTCCACCTGCTGCAGTGTTTTGGAGGGGGTGACTCTATAGTGAGGAAACCACCCTGATCCCTAAATTAAGGCGTCAGCCTCATTTCCGACAGCGCTATGCAAGAAGGACTCTGAGAGAAACACGACGCGGGCCTTGAGCTTCCTCAGGCGCCTCAGAGGGATTCTGAGAACGGGAGTTGGCCCCCCACTCTCCTCGGGGGCCTGTTGGTTTGCGCCGGCGCTTTTTAAGGGCACCGTGGGGCGAACGGAGCGCTCAGAGCTGCTCCGGCCGCGGCCCAGGGAGCTGGAGGAGCCGCGGTAGGTGGTGGAGGGCAGGTGGCGCTGGGGCCTCGGGGCGGGCACCTCGACCGTCCCTCCCTCCTTCTCTCTTCCCCCTCCCCCAGCCTGGCCGCCCGCGCGGCTCGGCCTCGCTGGCCGCCTCCGCCGGGAGAGCACGGGACCCGGTGGGGGAGGGGGGGTGGAGCGCTAAGTCCCAGACCCTCTCCATCCCCTGCGTCCTGAGTTGGCCTCCCGCGGCCAGATGATGGAAGCTAATTGGGAAGAGGCGAGCGACAACCCCCTTGAGCGAGCCCTGGAGCTCCCCCCACCCCTCCGGGCCAGCGGATGCCCCATGCCCCACCCCGCGGGGACAGGCAGGGGCAGCGGAGGAAGAGGTTGAAGATTGGAGGGGGGGGCCTAGTCTTTTGCTTCTTCATCGGCGTGGGGGGAGGGGTGCTCCCCACTTGTCACCCCTATCCCCACCAGAGCCATATGGAGGAAGCGCGGTCAGGTCCTCACTTACCTGTTCACGAACCTCCCTACCTCCCTCATGTTTTCCTTCTGTCTACCCTAGAGGTGTGGGGCTGGGACCTGGAGGAGAAGGTCCCCAGGGAATTTGTGACTCTCCTCCCCCTTGGCCCGACTTGGTCCTAGGTTCTCCACGTTTCAGCACAACCTCCACATCTCTGAAACCGGAGTGTCAGGGGTGACTGCTACCCAATAGGAGATGGGGTTGGGGTCCAATCTTTATTTTAGAGGGCTGGTGGTGGAGGGAAAGCCTGGATTGAGAGTTAGGCCTGGTAGGGTTGTAGAGAGGGCCTAACGGCCTGCTGCTCTGTGAAAGCTTCAACCCCGTGCCAGTTGTTAAGCAGAGAAGTTTTAACTTGTTTAGTGAACATTCAGAGCTGTTTCTGCCCCTCAGATACACAAAATGGAAGGGGAAGGAAGGCGGGCAAGAGAGGGCTTCTTACACTTTTTTCAATGCCTGCTTGAGAAAGAGGAGGCCCCTCGCGGAGCTGGTTCGCCTTCTTTTGTGTCCTGGTTTGATTCCTTATGGCTTCCGTTCTGTTCCCCCTCTCAGCCTGGCCTGTTTTAGGAAACTCAGGCTGAGAGTATCAGTTGCGTGGTGGTAGTTGCATTGTTCCAATTACCGCCGTGTGTGGCCACATCCCAACAATTAAAATGCAGAAAAACACAAAATCACTCTCTTTACTTGCTCCCAGAGAGGGCTGGGAGTTTGCTGTTTGGCCAAACGCCTCCTGAAAAGCTTGAAAGAGTTTGCTTCACTCCTCCTCAAGGCTGGTCAGCCTGAGGCCTGGGGGTCTCTGGGGTAAAAGCCTGCAGTTAGGTTCCCTTTCTGCTTAATCTTTGAGGGCAGAGTTAAGAAACCAAGAGCAGAAGTGATATAAGCTCTAGCTTCTCCCATAAACAGCTGAAGGGAGCTGGAAGGAAACTGGAACTTAGTTCAGGATGGTAATAATTATGCATGAAAATGGTAGTTGACTATAATGATGTTTGACTTTTTCCACACTTTTTCCCCAAAGAAGTCCAAGTATATCCCAGTATATTTCTTTGCTTTTCCTTGTGGCCTCCCTCTGAGATGGGAATGGGGCAGAGATGATTCCTTTTTTGCAAAAATAGTGCAGTCTACCCCCAAGGTCACAGAGGGAACCTTTTTGTGCTTCTCTTGGTATGCGGGTAAGGGAGGTTGGTATCCAGCCAAACAGATAAGCTTGATTGCCTTTTTCATCTTAATGATAGCATCACTTGTGGCATTCTGAGGCCTTGTACAGCAGTAGACAGAAGGAGTGAGAAACAGTAGTCTATGGTGAACTAGGGATTTGTACAGGCCAGATGGTATGTTTTTTTACAGTTTGACATTTTGTGTTATATTTATGTGATAGATTAAGATTATCCTACCCATTTTACTTATTGCTAAATCGAGGCCAAGAAAAAGTTAAATTATTTCTCATGACTGGATCAGCAAACTGGATCCAAATTTAGGTACCTTGATAGTTTGTTCACTACCCTAGTGAAAGCTGCATATACCGTCAGCTGAGCTGTCTGCCTGCTGGTCATTTCTGGGGATAGGCAGAACAGTTTTGAAACTCAAGGTTAATCTCCCCTCTTCCTTTGGCTAAGGCCTCTTAGGCAATGGTGTGGTCTTTTGAAACCTGTTCTCCATAGAATTAGTTTACGTCTAACAAAATTGGCGATGATAGTCTTGATTAATTATATTGCTGGTGTTTGAGTCAGATCAGCCTGAAAACTTAGTTGAGTGAAGTCATGGAGTTGTTTTTAGCACTGTGGAGTTGAAATGTAATTGGAATTTCCTTGTCCTCTTTCCATTTTATAAAAAACTTTTACAGTATCTGTTGGAAAACAGTAATATATCAGCTATGCAGGTTAAAGGAGAACATAAAACCCTGTTGACTCATTGATCTAAGTACGCTTTCCTACAACCATCTCTTCCCTGTTCCTATTACTACCTTTATAGTTTAGGAAAAGGGTACCTCTCTGCTTCTGACTAGAAGATAAGGAAAATATCAGGCTAATCAGGATGAAAGTGACCATTTGGGCATTACTCTGTCTCACTTGAACTGTTTTCAAAGTGGTGCTGGTTTTCTGGGTAGACAGAGCAGAGCATGAACCAGGTTAGGAGCAGCAATTAGGCTTCTAACTCCAGTTCATTTTATTGGCTATCTGGAGTGCCAAGTTCAGAATGTTTCTGAGGCTATGTTAAGGCTTAGCAGAAAAGAACTATGATCAACTAATGATGTCTGCCAGAGGCCTGGCATAGGGATGCTGTGGTATGTGTGCCATGCATTTTCCATCTCTGGACCAGGTACATGTCTAATGTCACTTGGGGCTGGTCCCTCTAATTGGCAGACTCAGCAGGCATGACTGGAGAGGGAAGTCTCAATGGTGCTAGAATGGTGCTACAGTGGCAGAAGACGGCTCACGAGTGAGGTCTGGAAGAACAACAGGGAAGACATCCATCATTTGCTCCAAAGTGTGCAAGTCAAATCCTGGGGAGAATCATGATAACCCTGATCACTGAGCAGCTACAGAAGCAGACTCTGGATGAGCTGAAATGCACACGCTTCAGCATCAGTCTGGTAAAATACCAGTCTTCCTGCTTCTCCACGGCCCCTTCCCCCTTTTTTCTGAGGCTGTTTGTTGCTACTACTTCACCCTTAGTCCTGTGCTGTATGAGTCATGGTATTTGTACTGAAAGAGCCCACTAATGGCTCAAAACCCAGCCCAAAAGGAAGGGGGCAGGGATTTTTCCACTGATAGAGAAAGGACACCAAAACTTGGGTGGAGAAGGGTTTGAGAAGTTGAAAGGTGGATTATTTTACTAACTTCGGGAAGACAAAAAGAGAATACTTTGGAGCCCCTAACATCCCTATAGCCCATGAATTGCAGGGGTGAACTGAAGAGGGCTTCCTGGAAATCTGTGTCTTGAACCTGAATCATAGATATTCTCTTTCTCCCAGCCTTTGCCTGACCATGCAGACATCTCCAACTGTGGGAACCCTTTCCAGCTTGTGTCTGGTAAGGCATTATCTGTCTATATATATGTATGCTTATGCCTTCATCCACACATTTCTGTTGTTGATTTTCAGTGACGGGTTTTCAGTAACTGGCCTTCCTCTACTGCTTTTTTGCTAGGATCACCAGAGACTGTCACTTTTTTTTTTAATTGATTTCACCCATCTCTTTTTACTTTTTTAAAAAAAGATTTTATTTATTTATGTATATAAGAACTGGGGTGCAGGCCAGAGGTGTGGGAGGATGAGAGGATTCACTAGAGACAGAGTAGAGAGCAGAACAGGCGGATTGACTGAAATACACTGCTGAGGGGCGCAGCGGGTGAGACAGGAGAGGTCTGCTGTGCCATGTGGATCAGCTCCCTGCCCGGGGATCGAACTCAGTCTGTCGTGGTGGTAGCACTGAGCCTTAACCCCTAGGCCACCAGGGAGGCCCTGAGATTGACACTTTTGTCATTTACTGCCCCACCATGGAAGTTGTCTGTTTAGTTTACTTTCTAACACTATGAGGATTTTTATAATCTAATTTTTGAGTAGGTAGTACATTTGCATGGTTCAAAAGTTAAAAATTTTTTTTTGTTCAAAAATGTGAGGATCATTTCTGTTCTTAAATAGCAAAAAGTTCATACTGAAAAGTCTCCATTCTTCTGTCTCCTATCCTCTCGGCTCCCACCACCTCCCTAAAATTAACTCCTGTTACTTGTTTATTGTCCAGCCAATCAGATTTTTTTTAATACAGATAGAAGCAAATATAAATGTACATTTTTATTCCCACTTCTTTAACACAGAAGTTTCATGCCGTATATGTTATTCGGTACTTTTTTTATTTAACTGTAATATAGCTTGGAAATGTTTCCATTTCCATATGTTTTGTTGAGTATTTCTTTGTTTTATGTAGCTGCATATTATTGCATTGTAGAGATGTACCATAGTTTAACTGATCTCCTATTGGTATACATTAGGTTACTTCCAGTATTTTGTTATGACACATAAAACAGTAGTGAATAATCTTGTATTATGTCATTTTTCACATTTGAAATTCTATCTGAGCTATAAATTCCTAGATGATAAATTAATCAAAGGGTGTGTGATCATGGGGACATTCAGATGGATGCATTACTAGTGCACAACCCCATGCTGCTACACTAGTCTGCATCTCATTTTCTGGGGTACCTGGCAAGGAAAGTGAGTTGGCAGAAGTATCTTCATTCAGCGTCTTTCTTCAGTTTATTAAATACTTGCTGAGAACCAGGAATTGTGCTATAAATACATGGTCCATGTCCTTGTGGATATTAATAAGAGGCAGAACTGTTGACCAAAAATGTCATGAGTTCTGCACCAAGTCTGACTTCATACACTTGTCAGTTCCAAATATCTAACCCCTGCAGATTTCCAACCAACTTGCTAGAGGAGTAGATCCTTTGTCCCTTAATGAGCTGCCTCCCCAAAGTCAGTTTGGGTTAGAATGCAGTGAGTGAGAATCATTTCTTTTCAATCTCTTCCCCTTTCAGCCCTTGGTCCTTAAATGCAAAAATTATTTTTTGGATTTAAGAGAAAGCCTAAGGAAGGGGAATCAGTGTGCATGGGTGATCAGACATAGGACATGAGCAGCCTGAAGTTTTAGGGTTTCCCAAGCACAGTTCCACCAGTAAAGGCCTTCTACACCCTGTTTGCCCTCTCTGGGAATAAAAGTGATCTCTTTCCTGCTTGATACCTCCTTACTCCTCAGCAGTCCTAAACTCTCCTGTCTTGTTGCTGTTGACATGAGAAGAGGGAAAAAGCTGAGGGAGACATGGGCCCGCTCTTCACCTTAGGCTAGAGACTGAGGAAGCAAAATTAGGCTAGGTGGAGAAGAGTGAGGGGTGAGCAAGACACACACATTTGTTCTCTAGACTCCTTTTACTTCTGAGAACAATGGCAGGTAATATATGAGATTATTTTTCACTTTCAGGTGGTTCCTTGTAGTGGAGACAGTATAGCAGAAAGGCTAAGAGTTGTAGCCTTAGCCTCAGACAGACCAGGGTTTGATCCTGCTGTGTTCATGTGATTACTGTATGGCTTTGGGCAAGTTACTGGACTTCTCATTTGTGAAATAGGGATAGTAATGGTACCTACCTTATGAGATTTTTGGAAAACCACATAAAGTGCTCATTACAGTGTGTGACACATAGTAAGTGCTTAAAAATACATTAGAGGGGCCTCCCTGGTGGCGCAAGGGGTTGTCTCAGCACTATGAAGCTATCCGCAGCTACTGCAGCATGAGTTCGATTTCTAGCCAGGTTGCTAACCTACATGGCGCAGCAGACATCTCCTGTCTTGCCCACTGCTCCCCTCAGCAGTGTATTTCAGTTAATCTGCATGTTCTGTTCCCCACGCTTGTCTCTCCCCTACACGCTTGACTTATACCCCAGGTCTTGTATGCATAAATAAACAAATCTTTTTAAAAAATACATTAGAGAGCCTCCCTGGTGGCGCAAGGGGTTAATACACAACCTATGAAGCTGTCTGTAACCACTGCAACACAAGTTCGATCCCCGGCCGGCCAGGGAGCAACCCACACGGCACAGCAGACCTCTCCTGGCTCTCCCGCTGCTCCCCTCAGCAGTGTACTTCAGTCAATCTGCCTGTTCTGTTTCCTGCTCTGGTGAATCCTCTCACTCCCCACACCTCTGGCCTGCACCCTTCTTATATGCATAAATAAATAAATCTTTTTAAAAATTACATTAGATGCCATTAATAATATTTTTATTATGCTTGCCTTCCAGAAGGTGCTTCCTGGAGGGGCCTACCCCACTGTTCCTGTGCCGAGTTCCAGGACAGCCTCAACCTCAGCTACCAGCCCTCAGGCTTGAGTCTGCACCTCAGACCACCCAGTCGGGGAAGCTCTCCACAGGAGCAGCCCCTTTCCCAAGTCCTAAGCCCTGAGCCCCCGGACCCAGAGAAGCTTCCTGTGCCCCCTGCCCCTCCATCCAAGAGGCACTGTCGCTCACTCTCAGTGCCCGTGGACCTGTCTCGCTGGCAGCCGGTGTGGCGGCCCGCCCCCTCCAAGCTGTGGACTCCCATCAAGCACCGGGGCAGTGCTGGAGGGGGTGGGCCGCAGGTGCCTCACCAGAGCCCCCCGAAGCGGGTCTCCAGCCTCAGGTTCCTCCAAGCTCCCAGTGCCTCTTCTCAATGTGCCCCAGCCCACAGACCCTACAGCCCCCCTTTTTTCAGCCTGGCCCTAACCCAAGATTCTACTCAACCCTGCGCTGCCTCCCCCCAAAGTGGCTCCTGGGAGAGTGATGCTGAGTCCCTATCACCTTGCCCACCCCAGCGCCGCTTCTCCTTGTCACCCAGCCTGGGTCCACAGGCAAGCCGCTTCTTGCCCTCTGCCCGGAGTTCCCCTGCATCTTCCCCGGAGCTGCCATGGCGACCTCGAGGCCTGCGCAACCTTCCCCGAAGCCGCTCACAGCCTTGTGATCTGGATGCCCGCAAAGCTGGAGTCAAGCGGCGCCACGAGGAAGACCCCCGGCGGCTGCGGCCTTCCTTGGACTTTGACAAGATGAATCAGGTGGGACCAGTCGGTCAAAGGAAGCTTGGATGGGAGTTAGGGGTATTCGGTTCTGTTTTCACACTTGTGCCCCTCTCTAGCTCCACCCTCCTGTCAGGGCCTCCCTGGCTCTCCTTTCTGTTATAAACTCTCGAGGGTGATCTGTCATTCCAGTTTGCCCAGAAGCGTCATGGTTTTTAGCACTGAAACTCCCATGTCTTGTGAAACTCTTTGGACCTGAGGGTTCCAGAGAAACTTGAGTGAGATTTGTGTCAAACCTTCCAACAGTGATACCAGATTGTCCTGTTAAAAGCACTTGCCCTCCTCTTGAAGAAAGCGTAGATCTTAGAGGTCCATCATCAGTGCCCAGCCTCTACTTATGAGCAAGGATGGTTTGGCCACTTGCCCTTCACTGCTTCAAGTGCTCTGTGAGGGCTTAAAAAAAAATAGGCTGCTGTATCCCCTGTTTGACAAATGTTTTTTGATTTCCTAGTGTGAGTGTAGTTGTTGTATACACTTGCCTACTTTCTTCATACTCTTCTAGACACTGGTCACAAACCTCTTGGAGAATTTATTCACTTATAGATTCATTCAATCAGTAAGCAAACATTTACCTATTGTGTACTAGGGTCTCTGCACTTGACAGTAGAGTAGTGAAATAAGCAAGTGACATTCCATCCCACATAGAACTTATGTGACCTCCTAACCTTGAATCTGATCAAAACTGCGGGCTCTTTCTTTAGAAAACTGCATGTACACTGAATTTTCCAAATTTTATCAGGGAGTTCACAAATATCACCCTTAAAGCCTGGACTCCTGCCTTCAAAGGTAACCAAGAGGGACACAGAGAAACACAGCTTGGACCAGGGTGTTTTGGGAAGTTAGTGGCTTTCTTTGCCTTCTTAATTTTGTTGTTTATTTGGCAGAAACCATACTCAGGAGGTGTCTGTCTCCAAGAAACAGCCCGGGAAGGCAGCAGCATCTCTCCACCGTGGTTCATGGCCTGTAGCCCCCCACCCCTCTCCGCTTCCTGCAGCCCCATTGGGAGTTCCTCGCAGGTGCTGAGTGAAAGCGAAGAGGAGGAAGAGGGGGCCGTGCGGTGGGGGCGACAGGCACTGAGCAAGCGGACACTGTGCCAGCAGGACTTTGGGGACCTGGACTTGAATCTGATAGAGGAGAACTAAAACTGAGAGGCTACTTCCTGGGGCCACACAGACTGACTCTCTTATGGCTACTAACAAGTGTCGAGGCCCCAAGGCCAGGGGCCCAGCCTGGGAATGGGGGTGAGTGGAGGGCTCCGACTCAGGGCAGCCGGAAATCTCGCTCCAGGAAGCTCGACCATGCCGAGAGACTGGCCGGGACAAGATAAACGGAGCTGGTGGCGGGAGGGACAGCCCCAGAGCAGACCCTTCCCATGGCGGCCCTGAGTGTGAGTATCCCTGCCACTGGAAAAGCAATGGGCAGGGAAGGAAGGGGTCTGCTGACCCCAGCTCGGGGAATTTCACTAGCCCCTTTGCTTCAAAGGGCACTTGTGTCTTAGAATTTGGCCAGGGTGGGGGGTTCATTCAGCCTCCTCAGAGAAATTGTGTGAGAGTGTGTGTGTGCATGGGAGTGTACTTGAGAAAAGGTGTGTTTGCGTAGCCTTAGGGAAGGAAGGCAGTTGCTCCTTAACAGCAGAGCATCATGATACCCCCAGGATCTTGTTTTCATAGACAGCAGGCTTGTTCAAGGAGTCAAGAGGAGGGCACCATGTTTTTCTTTTTTCTAACTAGTTTTGGAACCAGGCTTGTAATCCATAAGCACAGGCTCTGCAAAGGATTCTTTTTTGGGGTACAGCAAGGTATTTTAAGTGCTGTGACCTCAGTTTATGGTCTTTTCCTCAGGCCCACCCCCTTCCTATTGCATAGATCCTAGTGTTGGAGGCTGGAGGGAAATCTACATATTGATTCTGAGCTGTCCTTTTTTTCTGATCAGATTGCCAAGGCTATATACAGTCTGCCTCTCTTGCTCTAAGTACATGCAAATGTGGGTATCTGAGGCAAAATTGAAGGGCTCCATCATTTTTTCCCCTCTCTACTAACTGGACCTTTTCTCCCCTCACTGTTCTGCTATTCAAGAATCAAAAACAAGGTTGGATGGCCCTTTTTAGGTCTTTAGCATCTATTAAGGCCAACCTGCAGCAAGAGAAGTGGCATTCAGTCCCCAACAGGCATGGGTAAGCTCCCCCCAGCACTGCCCTTTGGAAACAGGCTATAGAGAAATCTATTGTTACAAGATCCAGATTTTCTGATCTGCTTGAGAAAGAGGAAGGGGATGTCAGCATTCACTAGTTTGCTTGTCTTCCATTCCTGCCAGGAAATGTTTATTTGCCTCTAATTGGCCCTGAGAGACCTCAGGGAGGTTGGTGCTCACTAAGGGATTGGCTGAGGACATTTAAAGCAAAGACTGTGAGAAGCAGCTGGGAGTTTGTTGTTGTTGGATTGAATTTCCTTTTTTGTTTCTCACCCACAACTTGAGCCAGGGCAGCAGGTCCCACAGCTGCAGTGATGGGGTAAAAACTTGCAAGAGTCTAGGTAGGGCTGATACCAGTGGAGATGCATACTAAACCTGCTGCCATAATCACTTGCAAGGCATTGTCCAGCTTTGGTTAGACCCTGCATAACCAAATTGGACCTGCCCTTACTCTTCATCCGAAGAAGGGCATTTTTTCACTTCAATTTCCCAGGGTGTCATAGGACCCAGTTCTTCATGTTGGGAAGATAACCAAAAAGTCTGTTGTTTTCTTCCTTGTGGAATTGAACCTGTCGTTTTTCCAGGTCCTCCTGCATGTCAGATAGGAGCATCATGGAGGCCCTGGCCTCCTCCACTCCAGAGGAGGTGGCCCTTTCTTCTCAATCCTCTGGCACTCAAAGGTTCTACGCTTCCAGGGCTCCTCCCATCTCCTGCTAGTTACCATGTATTACCGGGGAGCTACCAGGTCTGTAGGGGCCTGAGAGAGGCTCTTGAGAACCCAGGGAAACTGAGCCCAGGAGTTACCCATCCTTGGTTTCATCCTTCCCCTGGCTCTTCTCCTTCTTTAGGCCATAATTTCCCTGGTGCCAGCTTCTTTCCTCCTGGGGCATCCTCATCCCTGGGCTCTCTGCTGCAGATTGGCTGTGCCAGCTTCTAATAGGCCACTGGCAATGCCAGTAGGGTCTCTACAGGCCCTAAGCTAAAGAAGTGAGGGCAGTAATTCTGCCTCCACCTTGACTTCCCCAAAGCCCTAGGGTACCATCCTTGGGGGAGAAGGTCTATAGATATCATATTTGAATTCCATTACTTTGAGACAGAAAATTTAAACTAGCTGAAACTATCATCTTGCTTCCTGATCTAAGCACCTGTGGCCCTGGGACAAGCCTTTTCAAGAAGTGGTTCATTGTGCTTTACACAGTAGATCTATTCCAACAGTTCTGTGTAAACCAGATGCAGTTTTTCAGTGCATTTGGACTGCTGACCATTTAAAAGCAGCCTGTGATTGCTTATTTTGTAAAGCAAACAACATCCCTCTACTTTAGCTGTTTTGACTATTTGGATTTTCACATATTGGGCTTACCCAGAGTGGAGCACACCTCTACAGGGCTGTGATTGACACTGGGTAGACATCTGCATCCGTGTTGTGTGTGTGGTGTGGCTGACCAGTAGGTGAGTATTCCTGCGTGTGTGAGTGAAGCCACTCCCAGGCTGGTGCTCTCCTCCTGTGCCCGGTGACTGCCCAGTGGCAGCTCCAGCTGCCCTTCACTCCCACCTGCTGCCAAAGTCCCTGTGCTAATGGGATTACAAATACAAAAAGTGGAAAAAATTTTTCGTAAACTTTGTTTTATATTAAAAAAAATCCATAAGTCTGTGTGTGTTAAACATGAGGTCCTGCCTCTGTGGCTGTGTTTGAAAAAATAAAGTTTTATTAGAATAATCCATTTTCCCAAGCAATCTTCTGTTCTATAGTGTTTTCCCTTCACAAAGAAAAACGAGGGAAGCAGGGAGAAGACAGCCTAACTCTTTCAGCCCCTTTCTCTAGGACAAAACTGGGCCTTGGCCTTTTGAGGGCTGTTTCTCATCCCTAGGCACTTTGTGTACTGGTATTCCATTGGCCAGCCTTGTGTTAAGAACTTGGTTATTTATGGTGGTCGATTTTGGTCTCTTTCCTGTACTTTTTACCCATCTTCTTTTCCCCTGCTGTCACTCTCACTTCCAGCAGGCTAAAGTCATGTATTAATACTTTGAGTATTAATACATTCTAGTTTATTAATACATTAAAGTATTAATACTTGAAAGTATTAATACATTCAAGTATTAATACATTCTAGTTCCATGAGAAATGCTTGGTGGTACACTTAGGAAATGTTCTGCATTGGTTTATAGACTTTCGCATGTGGGGAGAAAAAAAACAGGTTGAGAAACATGACCAGGAATCTTTCTTCTAAAGAGTTTTCACATGTGTGCCCTGGAGAGATGGAGATTTAGTCAGATTCCAAAGACTTGGGCAATCCTTCCATCAAAGTACTGCTTTTGGAAAATGATCCTAGCACCAGTGCTGCTCTTTTGTACTAGAAGAAGGTATTTTGCCTCATGCTTCAATTTTGTAATATTCCTTTCCTGAAAGAAGCTGTATGGCTTGCTCTCTTTCTTTAGACCTTTCTTGTCACCCCACCCTCCCAGTCGCCTTCAGGCAATGTTGAAATTTGCTCTTGAAGCAAATAAAATGGAGATTCCCCATTTTATGATATTTCACTTACCCTTTTTAGTCAGTTGTTTTGTCTTCTGGAGTGGGGCGGGGTGGGGGGTTGCTCTTTAGATCTACCCACACTTCTCCCTACGTTAGCATTCTCCCAATGCGTGTTGGTGAAGTGTGTAGTTGCTTAGAGATTCACACAGGAGTCTCTGTCCCTAAGGCATAGACTTTTTTGTTTTGTTTTTACCAGTTGTGGTACTGACTTGCCAGGCGGCAAGAGTCTATGCTTAGCTTCCATTTCCTGCTTAAAATTGGTGGCACTCATCACTGAATACCAATCAAGTATGCAAGGAAACAGGAGCAGCTTGACTACCTGGAGCAGAACCTTTGAGGTGGTGAAAAAACACTGTAGAAAGAGTGAATTTTCACCTGCCTTCAAAACAAGGGAGGGGCTTTGGGGTAATGGAGCAATGGATGTGATTAAAGAAGCTCAAGATTAAAGTTTTTCTTTAAAATTGCTGTTTGGTTTCACCTGCTATTTGAGCGGGGCTTACAGTTTAAACATCTAAAATGACAACCCCCTCCCACCCGCTTTTTTATCTTTCTCTTTTGTTGTTGGGGTTTTCTGTTTATTTTTTGTGAGACCAACTATGATTTTATTTATCATTCCTGAAATCCCGAGAATCTAGAGAATAATGTAAACTCTCTGAGGCCAAGGATTTTGCTTTATTTAGTGTTGTGGCTCCAAAACTTTGAAAAGTGCCTGATAAATATGTTGAATTTCGATTTTTTGCCTTCCCATCCCAGAGCTTATGCACATTTCTGTTTCTTCTGCAGAAGTAATCTTTGGGTACTGGGGCAAAAATTAGAACTCTAGGAGAAAATCCCAGCAGTGAATTTTCATAGAAAAGCTTCAAGACATTTAGATCTTGTGTGCATTCATCCTTGTTTTCCTACCAACTACAATTTGTGAGCCATGTGCTTTAAGAGGTATCTGTTGGCCCAGAAAAACATTCTGAATCAGGCCTCAGGTTGGCTATGGCAGATGGAAGTTCCAAGAAATAAGAAGAGAACAAGTCGAAGGAAATGTTTCCTTGGCATGCTCTTCAATGTTGGTGCTAGAAAGACTTCCCTAGATGTTTTGTACTTAAAGTCAATAGTTGGTGCTTTCTCCTACAAACTTTGCTATGAGGAAAGTAGGTCAAGGGTAAAGACAAAGTTATAGACAGGAAATAACTGAATAGGCACATAAACCTTGCTGAAAAGAAAGTTACTGCTCTTTCCTGTTGGTAGGGCAGATCAATGAAAGAAATAAACCACTTTTGGGGTAGTAATCATAGATTATTTCTAGATTTTTTTTTTTTTTTTGGTTTGTATCACCTTCCATATACGTACATACTCTGCATCCATAAGACCACAGAACTTGTTCAAGTCTCTAACTTTACCACCATTAATGACTGAGATTTCCCATTGCCTGGTGTGAGTAACAATTCAGGCTAAAAATTCATTATCATTTTCTATAGTTGCTTTTCTAATAGCTATCAATCTCCCATGCCTGTATTAAACAATAGGAGTGGTGGGGTTTTCTTTGCCCTCATCCGCTCTACTACCTTGGTAAGAAGACACGCTATTGAACCAGAGAAATGAATTTCTTTACCGCGGGTCTCTATAATTTCTCAAAAAATGAATTGAGAAAACCTGGATTTAATAACACTGGGAAACTAGTAAGGAGAAGAAGCTCAATAGGAAAGACACTCCGATGGTTTAAGTCAATACCAAGATGCTGGAAACAGGTTGGCCTTCAGCCAACGGAAAGAGTGGCGTTTTCTCATCCAATGTCTTTGATACATTGGCCAATTGGAAAGGAACCTATGAAGAGCTGATAATGTAAGATGGGATGGTGCCATGTTATGGGCTATTGAGAAAAACGATATTATGGTTCCATGGAACAATGTTTCCTTAGAGATGACAAGAAAACTTACTTTCGGGAAGGAATTCAATAGGGAATTGGGGCACTAACTTCTTAGCTCACAACATCCACCTTCTAGCTACCTAGCCCCTAAGTCCCCACCCCAATAAAACTTTGCTGTCCGAGAAAGGTAAGTTAACGCCTTTTCCGATACAGGACAGCCCCGCCCGCCAAAGAAAGTTGGGACCAGGACAGTGCCTTGGGGGGCTGAAGGACCCGCCCCCTTCCCCACCCCGCCCGAAACTGCAATTCCCCTCCCCGCCGCAGGGGGCACTGCAGGCCCCGGGGAGATTGGGGCGGAGCGCTGCGAGGGGCCCGGAGCTGTCGCCCCGCTCCAGAGCGCGGGGGGCGCTGTGCGGGGCCCGGGCTGCGGCTCCGCTCCCGGCCACGGGGGGCGCTGCGCCGTGCCGGTGGTTGGTGGTGGCTGTTGGGGGGGTGGGGGGGAGCGGCGGCCGCGGGTGGTGCGGAGGGAGGCCTTGCGGGCGGATCGGGCGCTCGGCGGCGGAGGCGGTGGGAGGCGGTGGGCGGGAGCGCGGGTCTGGCCGGCCCTGGCGATGGCGGACGCGGCGGCCTCCCCGGTGGGCAAGCGGCTGCTGCTTCTGTTCGCGGACTCGGCGGCCTCGGCCTCGGCCTCGGTCCCCGCGGCGGCAGCGGCGGCGGCGGCGGGCGGAGATCCGGGGCCTGCGCTGCGCACTCGGGCCTGGCGGGCCGGCACCGTGCGGGCCATGAGCGGGGCGGTGCCCCAGGACCTAGCGGTGAGTGGCGGCCGAGGCGGGCACTAGAGGCCGGGGCTGCGGGGCCTGCGGGCGGCCTCCCCGGGGCCTTTGTGAGGGGGCGGTGGGGCGGGGGTGACCCAGTTCCGCGCCCCCAGATCTCTTCAGCGCCCCCCGCCGGCCCCTCTGCACCCCCGAGCTCTGGCCGGCATGGCTTCCGCGTTGGGGTGCGCGCCCCGGTTTCCCCCGGGGGGCGGTCAGGGCGCCAAGAGCTGCTGCCTCCACCGGCAGGCCCCGCCTCCGGAGCGACCCCTTTCTCGCAGCCGCCCCCCCCACCAACACGCCTTCCGAGCCGGCGCCTGCACCCCGGGCTCCCGGGCCCCTCGGAGTTGGGCGGGAGCTGCCGCTGCCAGCTGAAAGGCGCGGACCTGGAGTCCCCAGCCGCCCCCGGGAGATCTGCGCCCTGGGCCATTCCTCCCGTGGTCCCGCGTGGGGCGGGGGTGTGGGCAATTGTGGGAGGCACCGAGGCTGCAGTTGGAGCTGCTTGGGGCTTTTTTATCTGGCAGTTACTTCCTCCTTGCCTGAGACAGGATCAGCCTGGCGGTCTCCAAAAGGCCAGCTCTCGGGACTCTCTCCCGCGCCTCTCTGCGCTTCTAGGTGACAGGCGCTGCCGTTGTGGCTGTTTTTGATAAGTTTGAGGTCGGTCTCAGCAGCCGAATGGGGTTGCTGGGTGATGCGTTTTTGCTCCCAACTCGGCTACTCCCCCCAACCCTAGAGAGGTTTTGTTTTAAAACTTTGTTTTGTGGCTTGGCCGCTTTGGAATACTTGTTGTATTTTGTGATTAAAGTTAACTAGCTAGCATTCGGGACCATGAAGTGTTATTTTTGTGAAGTGAGGCGGCAAAACTCTGTCTTTGAGCTTTGGCAAGCCCCTTTAGTTCCTCATTCTGATAGCGGCTCTGGCTTCTCTGCTGAGATGAGGCTACGAAAACTAAGGGGGATTTTATTGGAATATAATAGATCAGCAGGCAGCAGGTAAAATGTCTTAATGAACTTGCTTGCACCTGCAGATATTCGATTCGCTATAAACGGGAACGCATTTTGTGAGATGTGAGTGATAACTGATGGTTTCTGATACCCAATTTTTGTATCTATTGATCAGTGGTGGTCGATCTTCCCACACACCAAATACGCCAGCTTTATGGGTTGTTTGACTTGCTTCTGCCACTCGAGTTGACTCGCTTTGATCTTACTCCATCTTTCTCTAAGAAAAGGCTGCTTTGCCATTTATAAGGCTACAGGGGGTCGAATTTGTAAAAAGATGTCAGAAATACAAGGTGGGTGAGGGTGTTGATTAAGAAGGGGATTTGTGTTTTCTTAAGAAGATTACTTTCTAGGTTGGGCTTGGGAAGAGTGTTTCTTTCTATCCAGTAATTTACTCCCTTGGATGCAAAACAATCTTGAGATCCGCCATTATATGCATACATTTTGACCAAAAAAACCTAGTCTGCCCTCCCTTTTCAGTCGGAATTTTTTGTTCTAGTTGTTTCCTCCTTCAGGTGAATTGCTAATGAGCTCTGCATCTGAAATGGCTATCAGTTCACTTTGTTGTTTGCTGGGCTCCCTGAGGGCAGAGGTTTTTTAATCTCACTGAGCTGCTGGACACCTATGCTAAACACTCAATTATTTTACCACCGGGGCTCATGGAATTGGTTTCTCAAGCCAAGTAAAAAGTTGCAGTGATTCTTGGAAATTAAACCAAAATGTATATTGCAACTTAGTTGCACACAAACATGGAGCTGTATGCGTCTACAAGCAAACACAGATTTAGGTTTTAAAAAGATACTTAA